TATTTAGGAATATTTTGAGAGTGGAGAAGTCATAAATTGCATTTTCATTTGAATTTGGGGAAACCACTTGAATTGTTGTGTTGAGCTATTTCAATTACTTTTGTTTGATTTGTTATTGCAAACTGCTTAACGTCTGTACATTTTGACAATAAACCTGATTTTCAATAAGGGTTGAATAGTTTTGATTACAAGTGTTCAGTGTATGCTATAGAGTTACCATCATACTTCCCATACTTACTGATAATATGCAACTTATCTGCTGTTTACAGAATTTAATTTTTATCTTTTGTAAACCCCATTTTAGGCTCTATTACACGTCATGATATTGACTCGCCTCCGGTCTCTGAGAATGTAGTTAGTATTTACCGATATGAAGACATCTTCATGCCATCTGCAGCCTACCAGACCTTCTCCTCCCCTTTCTGTCTTCTGCTCATTGTTGCCCTTACATTCTACTTGTTGATGGGAACACCATAATGCATTGGATCTGACATAATGTGTAGACATTTTAATGCCAATCTATACTTGATTTACCTATTTACAGTTTTTTCAAGAAGTGAGTTAACTTATGTTATCAGTATTGATATAAGAATATTCTTTTAGTCATAGATGATATGTTAAACAAACAACAAAATTGACTTATTGATTAATTCAAAGTTATATTTAACTTGATCAAGATACTCATGCAGTGGGCCAAAATTCAGAAATTTGTAGAAGAAAAAACTTGCATGCTATTTGTCTTGCTTATTCTTCGATGCAGTATTTAAGCTGACTGGTAGCTTATATAAGTGGGTCCTAAAACAGAACTTTCAGATAAGCATTTATTTTCAATTTTAAGCCAATTTTTTTTTGAAACTAGGTAAGTTTATTTTAGGTCCCATCTTGCATATTTGGATGAAACTTCAAAGCCAGCAGTGTAAATAAGTTATCATAAAAGTATTATGCATTACGTTACAAAAAAATACACACGTTTTCTATTTTTATAAGGAAATATAACACTAAATACAGATTTATTGTAGAGACTTTGGAACGCCAGCAAACTATTCCAACTTTCAAATATAAAACAGATTGGAAATATACTAAACTTGCAACAATCACAAATATATATAAAGCACATTAGCAAATACATGTAAAACAAAAACAAACTGTATTATGAATGTATTGAAAAGTACATGCATTCATGAATTCTGTCTCTTCTTGGATCAATGCTTTCCTATGAGGGATTTGAAGACACTGTACGACCTTATGCAAAGCATGAGGACGCCCAGCGTTGTTCCACTGAGTCAACAGGAAACAGCAGGAAGACAACCACTAAAGGCAAGCTTAACCCTCCAATGTAACGGTTGTAGTTTCTCTAAAACTGCAGTGTTTTACATTGCAGGGTTAAGGGGACAGGGACACTTAAAAGAGCTCTTCCCGGACCACTTTAAGGAGCTCTCTCCAGTTGTGACCTATGCATAATTGCATCTACAAGTTAGGTAAGTTAGATGACTTTGAAAAGTCAAGATTACCTGTTACTGGAAAAATATGTTTTCCCAATATCCAATTCGACCTTTGGCTTCAGGTGTAACTGAAAGGAATACACTCGAACACCAATGTCTCAAAATTAATTTGTAATCTACAAACATTTTTAATCTGATGAGAGCAAAGAATTACTGGATATATTACAAAGTATACTGAGAAAGAAGCATGAAACTTTGATTCTATACCCTTAGCATGTCCTGGAATCATATATGGGATGAATAGTTTATTTTCACTATATGTGGTAATGTAAAATTCTGCTAGGCATTCATGACGAACAGTATATAAATAGAATCACCAAACAGATTACAATATAATTCTATTATGCTTTCCATGATACAGCTTTAAGGAAGCTATTATAAAGGTGAATGGGAAACAGATGTTTACATAAGGTCACTTTATATATGATCCAATTTGTATGTGACATGAACATAAAATGTCCTCTCACACAGACCACAAGGCCCCAGGACGTACTTGAAAACAAGAGTAATCTGAATGTACCTTTCCTGGTTAAATACTTTGTTATTATTATTATTTTAATGTGCTATGCCTTTGTGCACATATAATAATAGATAATGAGGATAATTAGTGGGCCCAATTCTATATTTAATTTGACATTTGTACTATCATTTGTACTAGATCACACTAGCATGTCTTTTAGCATGTATTTTCAAATATATGAGTTTTCCTTTTGCATCCAGCTATTAGATAACCACAACTTTAAAGAAAGGTATTGTTCCTAATGTAACTTCTTACTTAACCATAATCTTCAGAGCAAGGGAGCCCAAAAGGTAGATCCCACAGATGTAGAACTACAACTCCCACAATGCTTTGCATGCCTTCAAAGCACATTTAGTCTGACAAAGCATAATGGAGGCTGTCGTTTTAAAACATCTGGGGACCTACCTTCTGAGCCACTAGCCACAGAGCTTCCGGCAACCGTGTATTTGCCATTAGCTATGACTGCATTTTAACATTGGTGCCAACTTCACAAAAATAAAATGCTAGGCATACCTGATCAACCTTCTGTTTGCTGAATAAGTATTCTGAGATCTGTTTATAAGATTTAAGCAAAAAGACTATCTACATGATATTGGTATTAGCAAATGTTGGTCATTTCTGTTGTTAATATTATTATCTTCAAGTTTGAAGTGAATCTTTAATGACAGGTTCAACCTAACCGAAAGCACCCAATAAACATCAAATATATAATAAATCATATAGATCAAATATATGGTGATCAGAAAAAACATTTTTTTTTTTAATGTGCGCTTTTTTCATAGATTCAAAATATATAGAAATTAAGTGTTATTTACTAAAGTTAGAATTGTTAGCAATTCAAAGTGGATTTCATACTTAAGACCAAAATAGCTGGAGTAAATAACCATGTATATGGCAAATGTTTAGATACTAGCATTATACACTTTAGATCCATTGTCACCAGGTATGCAACTCAGTGGATGTTATACTACTTTAACACTCACCACCCTTTGTTCTGCTTGGGTACATAGTACATACACTGCAGTTGTTATAAGAGCAGAATGACCACCTGTAGGTCTATTTTGCATAGCGATCTAAGAATTAATTGACAGATGGGGGTGGATCTAGTTTTTGTACTTTAAAAAAAAAAAAAAAGCAATCCAGTATTATAAGACACATAGGGGAGAATTTAGTTTTAAATAGAGTTTTCACCCAATCTGTACATTTGCTAGTAATTCTAATAGCACAATGTATTAATTGAATTTAATTTACTATTAAATTAATTAAACTTGTGTGTACAATGACATGTACACTTGAGTTTATTGTACAAAGTACATAGTATATATTTACTAAGCATTATTGTATTAAAAAATGCCAAAAGAAGAACTTGCACCAAGAAAGTGATTTCTGTTCATTAAACGGGACCACACAATGAAGTGAAAAATCCATTCAACTCAAAACCTTGGTGTATTTATTAATCATTAAGTTTCCAACCATTCCAAAGTAGCTGAGTTTGAGAACTTTTCTAACTCAGTTTGGGGAATGACTGAGTTTGCACAGCATTATTAATAAAAATAGTGAGCATGACTTTTGGAAGTGTGAGTTAAAGGGCAGCAAGGGGATTTTATATTCTAAATACACATTTTGATGTTTTGGGGCTATATTTTTGCACTTCTGGTTCTTGGAATGTCCTTTGGAAGACAGACTTTAAAGTCCCCCTGGAGCCAACGGGAATTTAAATGCATTCTTTCAATGGTGCGGTAGGGAAAGAAACTAAACTAAAACACACTTTTTAAAATATGGTTTTTGATTGATTATATACATAGATAGCTAGATATACAAACATTATTTCTTCAAGAAAAAAAAATCCATTGCTTGGCACTCAATGTCAATATTTTATTTATTGGTGATTTCCTTAAAGTAAATTAATCTAAGTTTCTCCAGCCAAATTTTCTCCACTGACTATGGACAGTCCTCCTTTTACCCCAGTGGCCTCGGCACCCCCTTTGTATTAACACGTTCATTATGGGCTGACACCTGATGTTTCTCTGTTTGCAATATGCTGTTTGTCTGTACATTGCCTTGTATTAATAAAAATCTTTGTACAACTTGCAGATTTTGTAATGAGCTACAAAAATCCAATACAATTTTAAATATAAAAACAAACAGCTTACTCTTTCCAAATATCCAAACCCAACTCAGTTGGCAATCAATCAGTGATATTTGAAAACTCTCAGTTAAATATTGGATCCATACCAATGCTGTTTTACATTTTATTTCCTTATTATACTAATCATTAGTTGTGATCAGAACTTGTCACAGGAAGCAACTATATTTGGTGATGCTTTCAAATACACTTAAAAGGACCAAAAAAATGCAGAAGTGTATTCTAAAGAAGTAGTGTTTGGGGCTTATTCACTATACAGTAAATTGTGGATAACTGACAATATGGCATTCAATATGGCATTCAAAGAATAATTCCGACACTGCTGCATTAAAGATTATGACCCTTTTTCTCAAATTTCAGTTTTGGTTTATAGTATAAACTTTGTAAAATATATCATTATGTTTGTAAGATTGGTGGTTCTGGAAAACTGGGCTAGTCTATGATGTGTAAATATCCTGTGCTCAGCTGCTACTTGTAAGCTTACTTTACTCCATTCAAAACAAATTCTGTAGTCTTATTTATTTCATATGTTAGTCTTTTTTACAGTAAAATGTATTATTTAATTAACATATTGCATTGTTTGGCTTGAATGGTGATGTGTTTGAGAGAAAAAAACAAAAAAAAGAGAAAAAAAAAACCTAACCTGTGTAAAAAGAAAAGTAGGCTATGTGTCACGTGGTCTGCACATTTCTACATGAATTACAAAGAATGTATCAATTTTGTATGTTTTGAAAAAAAAGTCTAATAAAATATACATTATTTTACAATGTTTTTTTTTTTTTGTAAATCTGTTTTTATTGAAGATTTTGACAATAGATACATTTAACAGTAGGGTATATCAGGTGGGACACACAGGTCACCATCATAGCAAGATCATGAGCATTACGTTTGTGTGACATGCATTCTCGTGAGGTTCTCATGGATAGCTAGTGTATCTCTCTGAATGTTTTAGCCTGAGGCCTCTGCATGTAGATTCCCACGTGACCTCTTTCCACTCCCGTAGGTGTTATGCAGTTTGTCACCTTTTCACTGGATTGATTTCATGCATTTGCCTATGTTTTTGGCCTAAGGCCTCTCCCATATATATTTGGAGCTGTGTCAACCCCGTTAGGGTGTGGTCCTATTCTGTCTTGTCGGTTGTGCCCGACCATTGGCTCTGGTTGGGTTATGATTGTCGTCTTCATTTTAGGTAAGGTGAGGTGTAGAGGTGTGTGAGTGGTGTTGTGTGTGATCAGTAGTGTTGTGCCTGTGTTTATGATCATTGTCACTTCCGTGTTCAATGTGTTATGGTTTACAGCCATGTGTATTGTGTGTCTTGTGGGGTGCCAATGAGCTTGTTGAGTGGGCAGGTGTCCTTGGTTGTATCTCCTTTTTCACTTGTGAGCGTTGTGGTGGTTGAGTGTTGACAAAGTGTCGTCTATTTTCCTTTGTGGTGTACTCTTTCTGCTCCTGATTTATGGTTGTGTTTGGGGGGGAGGGAGGGGAAAGAATAGGTGGGGGAGTTGTTAGTGAGCGTTCCGTGTTACGGGGGACCCGGGCTCGTCCGCACATCCACCCCGGTTCCGCGAGCGTCCCCGCCCTGTGAGTGTCGGGCGATATATACAAACCACAGTTGCCACATTTCCACGTGTTTAGTTTCTCTGCCTGTTAGGGAGGCATGAAGTGCCTCCGCGCTCTGTATGTCTTCAACTCGCCGAATCCATTCCTTTTTCGTTCGGATGTTGGTTGTTTTCCAGTAGGCCGGTATTGACGCTTTAGCCGCATTCAAGAGGTGTCGAAGTATTGATTTTTTATAGCTCGAGATCGTTTGTTGAGAGATATATAGGAGGGCGAGTTCTGCAGGCCACTCTGGAACATCCCCCAGCACCCGAGTCACCTTAGTTTTTACCATGTCCCAATATGGGAGTATGTCACGGCATTCCCACCATATATGTAGTAGTGTGCCTCTGTCCTCCTGGCATCTACAACACGTTGGTGGCACTGCCGGGAAAATACGATGTATTACGGTCGGTGTTCTATACCAGAGGGATAGCAGCTTGTAATTTACCTCCTGGTATATGCTGTAACTTCCTATCCCTGCCTCTCTCCACACACACAGTGACCCCCACTGGCCGGTGATGACAATACAGAGTAATCTCTGTTTATACTGAGAAAAATTCCGTCGTTTGTATTGCCGTTATTACTGCAATATTGGCACTGGCCAGGCAGCCTCAAATAAATTCCAGCCAGATGGAAGCCCTAAGAGTAGTGTATAAAAAATGTTTTTTTTTTAAAGTAATAATTTTTATTTTATTTTTTTAAATCAATGGGCTTATTCCATGGGACGGGGCCTGGAGCTGCAGCTCCATCAGCCCCTATGTTAATCCGGCCCTGTTTCTGTATTACATGTATGTGGGCATGATGTATATTTGTGTATCTTGTAAGTTGGTGGGTACACGGGGGCCCCATGATGTCCTATTGCCCAGGGGCCCCACGAGTTGTCAGTCTGCCCCTGTACTGGCCTGAGTTTTAAAAAAAAAATCTGAACTATTTGCCCACTGGCATTGTAAAGGTTAATTATGGTGATAGGTCAGGCGGGGGCTATTTAATCAAATATCCCCACTAATGGTCAGCGGGTGAGGGCTGTTGTAATATAAGGGGGGATCCTAGTGTTCCTCCCAACCCCACTCACTGGTGGTGGGAGGGGGTACTAATAAAAACATTTAGGGAGGGGGCAATTTAAACTAATCCCTGTAAAAAAAAACAATAACATATTTGCTGTCAGAAGTCTTCTTTCTTCCAATTCTTCTTTTGTTCAGCCCAAAAAAACTGATGCACCTAATGAAAATAAAAAATACAAAACAGATTTGTAAAAAAAAAAAAATCCATGGAAAAATTCTGAAACTTGATGTAATACATTAAATTCCCGCAAATTGAGCTCTTATGGCAGGAAAGCCCTTATAAAAGCTATAAAGACTTCCTCACACTGTCAGTTATTAGATCATTTGGAACAATTTCACACTGTGTAATACCAGTAGGAGGGCTCTGATTGGCTGGCTTGTAAACCAACCAATCAGACCACTCTAACTGCAAAGTCTCACATCTCTCCATTCAAGTTCTTGTAACATATCACACTAAATTTACAATTCACTGTTTAGTGGCTAAACCACAAAGGAATATTCATTAAAACTAAATTTTAGGCCAGACAATCCCAACTAAAAATATAGCTGACTTTGTGTATTGTGGCCTAAAATCTGAAATTCACCATCAGGACTGCATTAAAGGAATGCAGTGCAATTACACCATCCCAGCTTAATCTGTCAAACCATTTTAGCAAGGTTTGGCCATTACCTGGGTCCTGCTAGTTCAGATTGCATCCAGTTTTCTCAGAGCTGGAGCAGCCAAGTTTCAATTTGCTGAAAGCAGCTACTCACTGAACTCATTCATTGAAGGGAAACCCTAATACATTAACCAGTACAGCCAGGGCCGGACTGGCCCACCCGGATACCGGGACATTTTCCAGTGGGCTGTCGGCACCTGGGGCCGGGCAAACAACTGGGTGTGCTGGGGGACTTGTGCTGGCGGCCGCTGGGGGAACTGCGCTGTCTCTGCTCCCCAGCGCGCAGCTTAATGAGACTAGGGCTGGAATATGATGTCATATTCTGGCCGCAGTCTCATTCAGCAGCGCGCGATGGCGGGAGAGCAGCGCCAGCGCAGCATCCCAGTGGCCGCCAGCACAAGTCCTCCAGCGGCTGCCAGCAATGATAGCTGTCTGCACTGCACGATCCCCTGGCACGTGGTAGTAATGTGTGTCAGTGTGAGTTTGTCTGTCTGTTATGGTGTGTGTCTGTCTGTCTGTATCATGGTGTGTGTCTGTCTGTCAGTGTCATGGTGTGTGTCTGTTATTGTGTGTGTGTGTGTGTGTGTGTGTGTGTCTGTCTGTGTCATGGTGTGTGTGTCTGTCTGTCTGTGTCATGGTGTGTGTGTGTGTGTGTCTGTGTCATGGTGTCTGTCTGTATGGTGTGTGTGTCTGTCTGTCTATCATGGTGTGTGTGTGTCTGTCTGTCATGGTGTGTGTGTCTGTCTGTCTGTGTCATAGTGTGTGTGTGTCTGTCTGTCCGTCATGGTGTGTGTGTGTCTGTGTCATGGTGTGTGTGTCTGTCTGTCTGTCTGTGTCATGGGGTGTGTGTCTGTTCATCATGGGGTGTGTGTGTGTCATGGTGTGTGTGTGTGTGGGTCTGTCTGTGTCATGGTCTATCTGTGTCATGGTCTGTCATGTTGTGTGTGTGTCTGTCATGGGGTGTGTATCTGCCATGGTATATGTGTGTTTCTGTGTCTGTCATGGTGTATATGTGTGTTTAAAAATAGTGTTTTTGCTCACCTTTTTTTTTCCCCACGCAGCGTGCTGGTCTCCCCTCGACTGGCCCTGCCTCTATGGCTGAGATCATCAAGCTTGATGATCTCAGCCAATCCCATTCTTTGCCATAGGATTGGCTGCAAAACGCTACACCAATCAGCATTTCCTCATAGAGATGCATTGAATCAGTGTATCTCTATGGGGAACGTTCAGCGCCTCCAGAGTGTGAAGGCCCGTGCACTGACACAGGAAGCACCTCTAGTGACCGCCTGAGTGACTGTCACTAGCAGTGTCACTTTGAAGCAATGTAAACACTGCCTTTTCTCTGAAAAGTCAGTGTTTACGTTGAAAAGCCTGTAGGGACATGCTATAGACACCAGTACCACTACATTAAGCTGTGTGTGTGTGTGTGTGCGCCTGCTAGTGAGTGAGCTTGTGTTTTTATGTCAGTGAGCTGATGTATATCAGTGAGATTGTTTGTCTATGAGGCTGTGTATCAATCAGCTTGTGTGTGTCATTGAGATGTCATTGAGATGCCAGTGTCTGCATGTGAGTATGCTTACTGTATAATTAAACGTCCTTTTTTACTCTGAAAGGACCAATATTTTATATTAGAAAAAGCAATATATATATATATATATATATATATATATATATATATCCCAATCATCTGTCATCTGGGGTGGCAAGACATAACCTTACATATTACATGCGACAATATATGGCGCAGTGACTTATGGGGCTGGCATAAATTGTTTTTCCAGGGCCGCTTTGTATCCCCAGTCCGGCCCTGAGTACAGCCCACTGTTATGGTACTTAAGTGCCCTGGTGCTCTCCTAGAATCAAATGATTTAAAACAGCTTGCTGGCTGCCCACTGCCACCTCCCTGCTGCTATAAGCTTCTAGAAATAGCTTCCAGTTAGCTACACTATGCTAGCCTGGGCAGTTAAGCAGTCTGTATTGAATATGGTGTTTGAGGTGTTACATCTTAAAATGAAGTAATTTGGGTGCTTAAATTGTCCCTTTAACTTGTCTATGTATTTATTTATTTATTCACTTAGCATATGTATGTGTAAATATTTCCTTGTTTTTCTAATTGATTAAAATGTATCAGCTGAATTTGAGAATGGTTAACTTTTTTTTTTGCGAATTAGTGCAGTTACAGCATATTATGTGGGTTGCATGAAAGATAAATTGAACAGAAAAATAGTTTTTAAACAGTAATTGCACATTACAGGCATCAACTAATTTTTAGTTAATTGTTTGAGGGACCCTCTCTCGCTTAGACCGATCTTTGCCTTGAGGGTCCTAATATGGAGCCTGTATGCTTAATATTGTAATGCAATTAGCTGTAGCTTATTAAGGCACGTGGGGTAATATACAGCCTTCAAAAGCCTGAGGTTATCTCTGTGGTACACTGTTGCCTACTCAGAAGGTCTATATCCTGTGATATCAATTGTATATGAATAAAGTGAAAATAACAACTGTGCACACTCTATAAAAAGGGGGGTGGGAGAACTAAACAAAGGGATTAATTGTTAGTTTACAGGCCAGGGTAGAGAAACATATATTTTGAACTCTTTGAACATGTAGTGAGTATTATAGTATTATAGTGAGTGCAGGACCCAGGGATCCATCTCTGTAGGTATCAGACTTCTGTGAGGTTTGCTAGCAGATGAGTCTTGCCGGCCTTGTCAGCTTGTAGACCCCACTTGTATGGGATTGAGTGCTGAGAATGGTTAACCTTTAAGCTCCAGCTATACAAACTATTCCCTCTAAGTGTCAGTATAGCACTACACTATGGCTTTAAGTTATTAGGAATGCCTGAAAAAAGATATTTACATTAACTGATCCAGAAGAGTTTTCATTAATAAAATGTGGTTTGTTTTTTTCTTGACTGCATAGTCTTACAATAACAGTAGCACTATCACACAACACTCTTAGGGAGCCGTGTAACATGTCAAAGGATTAAATTAAAAATCACTATGTGTCTGCACTAGACCGAAAATATTGATAAAAGTTCCCTCTTGACACCACCCACCTGTAAAAATCTACCTAAACCCAGGATATTTATAAATGGGACAGATTAGATTACCACATCAAACATAGGTTTAAAAAACCCACAAAGCAGAGATTAGCAGAAATGCCTACGAAATCACAGCACTATGCTATAAGTCTCATCGTTAACGTGATTCTTATACGAGACAAAGGTAACACTTCACAAATGAACTAAAACAGTCATACTGTAGGAAACTAAAAATAAAATTACAAACAAATTTTACCTACAGCAAACAGATAAAATAAAAAGTGTCCATCATTCCGTCCCATTAGAGCTTTTGAAAAACCTCTACAAATTTGATTTGTCTCTCAAAATGAATTACACAATGCTTCAGATCTCCTTGTAACCAGGCCAGATGCTCTTGGTAAATGCAGACAATATTACATATACTGTATCCCATGCATAATGCCCCCCACTCTCCCTCAGTAAAACCCTTAAAATCAATTCCTAACTTTAAGCAATGGCCCTCCATTTAACTTGTAATATACAGTGCAAGTATGGGTTGTCTCTCAATTCTGGCAACTTATTGACTACTACTACTAATAAATATTACTGGGCCTCAGAAACCACTCTATATGGTTTGATTTATATACAGGAAAAATAAACATGCCTTAATTGCTATACCAATTCAGAAATTTTTCAGACGCCAACAAGATTTAACCCCTTGCTTTCCAGACACAGTTCAGCTAATAGGTCATAGTTATAGGCAGCCAAATTAACCCTTACCATGTAGTATTCAGTCATACCACATCTATTGGGCATGATTCATTATTCCTCTGTAAAAATATTGTCAATTAAGGTGGTGTGTATTTATTATTTCATTGTCAAAATATGGTTAACTTGGTTGACGTGTATAGTGGATGCATGCAATGGAGTTGAGAGACAATGTTATTGTAAGTTCAAGGAAGGGTCACTCACTTAACATGCTTGATGGATTTTAGATATTATTTTGGTTTTGAGGCGTTATCAAATATATGTCATGCAGGGCCGGCGCTACCTGCTAGGCGGACTAGGCAGCCGCCTAGAGCGCCCCTTGGGAAGGGGCGCCGCCCGGAGCGCCAGCCCCCATCATGCTGCAGCCGCCCGAGCGCTCTGTAGAGAGCCTCAGGCTGCAGCTTTGCCCGGGCAGTGCGTCCATGAGGGCGCACCGCCTGGGCACAGCATGAGGAGAGGGGCTGACAGGAGGGAAGCGCCCAGCGCTCCTTTCTGTCACTCCCTCACTGTAGCGTGGCCAAGCCCTCTATTGGTCCACGGGTACAGGGAGCATCTGTCTCCTGTACCTGGCCAGACTAACAGGAAGTGCACACGGAAACAAAAGCTACCTGTACCCGTGGACCAATAGAGGGCTCGGCCACGCTACAACAATGGTACAGAAGGGGGGGGGGAGAATTGACGGGGGTGGAAATTGACAGGGAAGGGGAATTGACAGGGAAGGGGGGAATAAATTGAAAGGGAGGGTGGGGGAATAAATTGAAGGGGGAATACATTGAAATGGAGGGTAGGGAATAAATTGAAAGGGGGTGGGAAATAAATTGAAAGGGAGGGGGATAAATTGACAGGGAGTGGGATAAATTGACAGGGGGATAAATTGACAATTGACAGGGAGAGTGGGGGGAATAAATTGAAAGGGAGGGTGGGGAATAAATTGAAAGGGGGGGAATAAATTGACAGGGGGGAATAAATTGAAAGGGAGGGTAGGGGGAATAAATTGACAGGGAGGGGGGAATAAATTGAAAGGGAGGGAATAAATTGAAAGGGAGGGGAAAGAAATTCACAGGGTGGGTGGGAAGAAATTGACAGGGAGGGGAATTGACGGGGGAGGGAGGGGGAATGAGAGTGGGGAGGGGAGAAGAGAGTGACAGACGGGGAGAAGAGAGTGACAAGGGAGGGGGGGGAGAAGAGAGTGACAAGGGAGGGGGGATAAGAGAGGGACAAGGGGGGGAGAAGAGAGAGAAGAAAGTGACAAGGGAGGGAGAGGGGGGAGAAGAGATTGACATCCATCACACACACACACAATGCACCCCTTACACAGAAAGACAATGCACCCCTTGCACACAGAAAAACACACAATGCATTACACACACAGACACACACAAGAAATGCAACCCTTACACACAATGCATCCCTTACACACACAGAAACAAACAATGCATTCCTTACACACACTCAATGCACCCCTTACACACACTCAATGCACCCCTTACAGACGCACATACTGCATCCCGTATATACACAGAAACACACCTTGCAGCCCTTACACATACAAACACAGATTCACACAATGCATTCCTTACACACATATCAGGACATCCCCCTACTCCACCCCCTGTGAACAAACTCATTGGTGGAACATGAAGGTGGACCCTGGGACCCAGACATTGAGCTTCCCGTTCTCCCAGAACATTAATTTTTGTGACCACAGTTACAAACAGCCTCCAGAGAGCCTGTTCTACACCAGACCAGTGGAGCCAGACTGCAGCTAGAGCCCATCATCATCCTCATCTGGTTGTAAGTAGGCAATCTAGTATATTATTCGTGGCACTAATCTCTAGTCCCCAGAACCACTTCAGCTTAATGTTGTGGTTCTGGTGTCCATAGCCTGTCCCTGCAGGCCTTTTAATGTAAACACGGCGGCACTGCAGCACTGGCGTTAGTTAACATGGCATATCATATGGGTGGGGCATTGTGATGTCACATGGGGGGGGCAAACTTTACTTTTGCCTAGGGCGGCAAAAATCCTTGCACCGGCCTTGATGTCATGCTCGGTCTCAAACTAAGGTTTCAAGTTAGTAAACTTTCCCAATGATTCAATAGTGTTGGAAAAACTTTCTAAACCATTTATCTAGACCAGGGGTAGGCAACCTACGGCACTAGTGCCATGCACGGCACTCAAGGTGTCTTTGCACGGCACTCAAGGATGCTAGAGCCAAACAGGCTCTGGCCTATCAGGAGTACCAGTGAAACTTCAGATATCTGCTAATACCAGAAGGTGGTGAAGGGCAATTCTCAATTTATGCATTGCAGCACATAGAGTGAGTGATCTCCGATCATTTCCTCCCAGCACTTGTGAATGGGAATCAACACTGAAGTAGAGCAGCCTGCAGCTGCTGTTGCAGCTCCTGTCCTTGACCTGTACCACTGGAACCCAGGGAAGCCACCCACACTGCTAGATATACACAGAAATGCAGAATAACCTTGCCCTCATACAAATAATACGAACAGCCCACAAACAAACATACACACAATCCGCACAAACGTAACCTGCTAACAATCCACATACATGTACACAATCCCACATGCAGCCTCTCACATGCAATACCCCAAACAGCCCCCACACATACACACACTACCAAACACACAATGTGACATATCCATCCACACACACACACAATTCCACAAGCAGCCCCCATCCACAGCCCACATTCCTAGGTATCATACACGATACCACAAACTACTTCTGAACATATACAATATAATAGCTCATATACGCACAAATACAATGATACAAAGCAATTACAGTATAAATAACACAAGCAGAATACGTCAGCATACACACCTCAATTTTAAAAAATAGGACCGGCACTCTACGGGACATCACGATCCTATATCGGCACAGTGCTGCTAAAAGGTTGCCTACCCCTGATCTAGACTCTAGACTAGAGAAGTCACATTTAAACTCTATAGGGATTTGTGCAGGTACTCATTTGAAAAGCTTTTTAACAGTTATTTGAGAATCTTTTTTAAATTGGGGCCTAATTGTCTGGATTCACAGAAATAATCTGACCAGTAAACAAAACAGATTAGAAGCATCTGTACATATGCATTGTACATTTTCAGCCAGGTTTTTAGAAAACAATACAATACATTGCCCTCATAAAACTGGTATTCCTGCACCCCAGAACTAAGTAGAAAAGTCAATGTAATCACAGAAAAAAACCTAAAGAATATTGTAATCCATTTAGATAGCCAAATCAAAATTGTAGTAGATTTATATTTTCCTCACCAAAAGCTTCCTTGGGAAAGAAACACTGGTACCATGTTATTATAGTCAGTGTTATGGACTATGTTACATTTCTCCCTTTTTATTTTTCTGCTTTGTATAAAATATAAATTATTTTATATGTATGCACTGTGACTATTTTTGTTCATAATAAATGTTACTTTGTTAAACTTTGCCTTTGTCTGGTGTAAGAATCATGCTACTGAAGATAGAATAGCACTGTGAGTTCAAAGACATTTCTCCTAAACTGTTTTGTATGTTTTTAAACATGATTTGGTTTGAGCAAACCTAAGGTGCCCCGTTTATAAATTGCTTTGGAGGTGGAAGCTTTTATAGGTGCAGGTGTTGCTAAGAGGGATCTCTTGTCATTATTTTTGGTGCAGACAAATAAAGATTTTTCATTTTTTAACCCACTGAAGTAGGTTACTTGCCTCTCTGTGAATGGTGTGGTTTGTGAAAATCATAAATAGATATAAAAATTAAGCAAAAACATTATAGATTTTTTTTTTCATCTATGCATGCCTTCAATACTTGTTGATATTACGTGGCAGCAACATATGAACGGCTGAACCTGAAGCCCTTACTGGCTACTCCGTTTCACTTTGATATTATGGTTGCATTCTGTTTATTTTACATGGTTATGAAGAAGAACACTCATTAGGTGTACATTTACACTTCTAGCACACTGAACCTTTAGTCAAGTAGGTAACTGCAAAAGTGTCAGAACTATTTTGACTCCATTGTAAAAGCTTCCATAGCATAACCTATGAATTTGTAATTGTCTTGTGGAGTCACTTTCCAGTTTGAGCAAACGCTGAAAGCCTTATCTTAACTGTGCACAGCTTAAATTACCATTTTAAAAAATTACCTCTTAAAATAAGTAATATATAAAATGAGACACAAAATATAGTCCACAACAAGTATGTCAAACTCAAAGGCTAACACGGGCCACATAAATAAGGTTTGTTTTGAAAAGAACAGTATAAAAAAAAATCAGCATCTCCTTCTACTAAACCCCAGCCCACACCTCTACTAAACCCCAGTCCGCCCCTCTGTACTAAATCCCTGTCCCCCCTCTGTACTAATTCCCAGTACCCTCTCTTCTACTAAATCCCAGCACCCCCCTCTACTAAACCTGGGTCCTTGTTTTAAAAAAGCAACAACAAAAAATGCGACTCTGGAGTCCAGCCTCTGGTATACCCCCAATGGCGCAATCCGCACACTATGCCAAAGCGGAATCTCCCGCTACTCCTTGAAAACCCGTGAAGGTGGAGAATGTTGATGTCACGTCGGAATGTGACGTGGCATTGCGTGCTTCCATGCACCTCCAGGTTCTCCACTGTCCAGCTTTGTCCATCGCAACACTGGCAAACACACACAGACACACACACACACACACACTGACAGACACACTCACACTCTCTGACAGACAGACACACACACACTCTCTGACAGACACACAAACACACACACACACACACTTTGACAGACTCACACACACTCTCTCTGACACACACACACACTCTGACAGACACACACACACTGACAGACATACTCACACTCTCTGACAGACACACACACACACTCTGATAGACAGACACACACACTGACAGACACTCTCACTGAAAGACACACACAAACTGACAGACACACACACACACACACTCTCTGACAGACACACAGACACACACTCTCTCTGATAGATAGACAGGCACACACACTGACAGACATACTCACAGAGAGACACACACACAAACTAACAGACACACTCACACACACTGACACACTGTCACGTATTCATCTGCTTATAAAAATGTGGTTAATGACATTTACTGTCCACACAGGAAAAGTTGTGCCGAACAGCAACCAAATCCACAGAAGGGTTAATGCTGAGCAGCAATTATGAAAATGGGAACCTGGTAACTGCTTTGGGGTCAAAGGCCGGTTACAGCCTATCAGATCTAGAGGAGGGGTATTTAGGCCCAGTTCTCATCCTGCTCAGTGCCCTGTCGTGGTTTCCCTTGTGGTTGTCCGAGAGCGCGTTATTGATTCTGGTAATTCTGGTTATTTGACCTTGGCATTGTTTTTGACTTCCCTGTTTTCTGGCATCTCTGACTCCTGGCTTTTCCTTATTGTTGTGTCTCTTTCTGTTTCCCTTGACCTCGGCTATTCCTGACTATTCTTTGGTACGTTAGTCCGGCCATTATAAGGTCCGGTATATGTTACCTATCAATCCTCTGTGTTATACAATTCTACATTCTGGATCAGTCTGTAATCTTGACACACACTCATACACACATTTCCACATTCTTAAACACACATTTCCACATTCTTTCACACACCAACATCATTTGATTTATTGCTCCCTACCTTTGGGAGGTGGAGTGCGGCCTCTTCTCTCGGGAGCTCAGTCTTCCTGCTCCTCACTGCTCCCTCACGCGCGCAGTTTAGTGATGCCTGGTGCCGGAATATGACGTCATATTCTGGCACCTGGCATCACTACAGAGTGCGCGCGAGGGAGCAGTGAGGAGCAGGAAGACTGAGCTCCCTCGCTGCCACCAGGGACTTCTCCTGCAACCGGTACCTGGTAAATTTGAGCAGAGTAGGCACCTGCAATATAAGGATAGCAGGTGCCTACTCTGCTTTAGTAATCATGAGAAACTCGCGGCTCGCCGGACTGCAAATATATTCATTGTGGGCCGCGAGTTTGCTTAGTCTACAAACTAGGTGCATGCAAAAACACACTTAATTTTTTTTATTTAAAGTGAATCTGTCATGACAGATTCACTCTAACAGAAATCCCCATAGACTATAATTTATTGTAGAGATAAATTATGTATTCAACTAAAATTTTTAATATATTAACTCACTTTCCCTGTGGGAAGCATGCACTCTGGTCACTATATTTGTAGAGCAGGAGGACCACCTATAGGAAGTCTCTTCTGCTCTTACTGACATTTTTTTCAGCATGCAGGTCTCTACTGAAGAATTGATTGACAGGTTGGGGAAAGATCTATTTTTATATAGGGTTTGCCGCCAGTATATACTTTTGTTATAATTTCTGCTGGCATAATGTATAGATGGAATGATATGCTTTTTAAAATTAGTATAAATTGTGTGTACCATGAAAAGTGCACATTAAAAATATAGGAAGCTACTAGCTCTAGAGCCCGTTTTATCCCTGGCATTCATGGGATAGAAGTCTGTGGACAAGAAGTCAAGATTAGTGCATTTGCAGACGATATTTTTTTCTACATTTCCCAGCCCAAAACCTCTTTACCCCCACTCATGGACCTCATTAAGGAATATGACCTGCATTCATATTACTCCCTTAATGCGTCCAAGATCCAGGCATTGGGCATAGGGTTACCACTAGCCGACACAGTTACCCTTCAGGATCAATACCCTTTTGAGTGGAGGAAAGATAATATTAAATACTTAAGGTTATTGCTCACTAAAAATGCAGCGGAACTGTATACAGGGAACTACATAAGAGTATGAAATGAATGCAAATTCTCCAGTGTTGGGGGCCACTGTACCTGACATGGATGGAAAGGATAGTGGCACTCAAGATGTCTATCTTACCCAAGTTACAATATGTCTTTCGCACACCATCTCTATATATCTAAAGAAGAGCCCACCAAGGTGTAACCAAGAGGATAAGGAGCACAGTTTGGCGCATACTCAGCAAACTTCTTGAGAAACTATGCTGCTAAATTTTGCAGGTTTTACTTTCAAAGTTGTGGGGGCTTTGGGGCAAAAACTTGAAAAACTGGGCAGTTTATAACATTTATGTTAAGCATGCTATGCTGTCTAACCATATGTTTAGAATGTCCCTTTATTGAAAGTGTATGACTCTTAAATTAAAAAAAATCCAGGGTTATTAATAAAAGAGAGAATTCAAAGTGAATTCCAATGTACAGTAATTTCAAATTTAGGCCATAGTAGGTGAGTGGAAAGCATAGCTGATCTAGATAATTTTTCCAGTCCAGTTATTTTGACTTTGTTTTTGGTTGTTTTTTGTTTATAATACTCTTTATTAAAGACTAGAGTTGAGCGAACCACTTCCTCCCAGCAGCATTTGCTGCGGCTGCTTTTTTTTTTTTTTTTAAAGGGGCCCGGTCGCGCTATACCACGGCCACAGTGCTGACCGGGCCCCTGAAGATATAGGGCCCATCAGGTGGCCCTAAGTGATAGGCCACCCGATAGGCCCCATCAGCGTGCGGGCCCCGGTGCAAGTGCACCGGCAGCAGTTCCGCCGCTACACGTGGGGCCAGGGCCTCCGGGCCCGTGACAACCGTTATGGTTGTCACCCCCTAATGGCGGCCCTCCCCACATGGAATCAAGGTCATGCGAGTGACTTGTGCAGTTTGGCGGAAGAGGCGCTGGTCGCACAGAGGCACCAGCACAGCATAAGAGTGACGTGTGCAGTTGTGCAAAAGCGGAGCGGCCATCCCCTAGTGCTTGTCGGCATTTATTATCTTTAGAATTCCCACAGGTATCCAAGTAACAGATGGAGCGATAAAAGGAACCATAACAGATTTAACGAGCCATTCGCAGTTTCGCAGTCCGGTGACTGTCTGGGCGGCGGTCGGATGACCGGGACCCAGTATGCCTGATGTTGAAGTTAGGAGTCACAGTGTGGAATGGATTAGCAGGGTCTGGTGCAGGGTAACCGCACGCCCCCTGGTGTTGAGCACCAGCGTTTGTGTGGCCACATACCAGGACCCTGATGCAGCTTCAGTAAAAAGAGTACTGGATACTGGACTGGAAGAAGGGTCACTAGACTGATCCGCAACTTGGAACAGGATGCGACATTCACTGTAGCGGCTGTTCGTGCTTTCGGCGTTCTCACTCTGCTGCTGCTCATCTGTCTGCGCTGCAGCGTAACTTTGGCCTTCCCGCTCACCGCCTCATATGCGACAGGCCCACACGGTGGAACTCCATCTTGCACATGCTGGAGAGACTGTGTGAGCAGCAGCAGGCGATAGTGGAGTTTCAGCTGCAGCACGCACGGGTCAGTCGCTCTGCACCAGATTTGCCCTCCAATTGATCAGAGTAAAAGGATTTCAAGTGGACTTATTACAATTACAAGGCCTCTAAAGAGTCCTGTATTGTTATTTGTCATCACTACCTCCCCGCATCGGGAGTGGGTCATTTGCACGCCTGCTGCCTTCCTTGCATGTGGAAGCCGTTTGTCAGGGTCCCTGTACGCAAAGTTGATATGGATTGACAAACGAATGCGGCGTCGCCTTGTCGTTGGGGAGCACATTGAAAAAGTGCTCTAGCATGACGAGCTGGGTGATCTCCTCCGGGAACTTGGCTGGATGGGAGTTGAGCCAGTTCTGGGTGGCCATTGTGATGCCACGGTGTATACCCAGATATATCAGAGCTGCTGCAGAAAGTGCGAGTCATCTGTTCGCGCTTTTGGCGTTCTCACCCTGCTGCTGCTCGCCTGTCTGCGCTGCAGCTTTACTTCGGCCTTCCCGCTCACCGCCTCATGAGACTGTGCGAGCAGCAGCAGACGATAGTGGAGTTTCAGATGCAGCACGCACGGGTCAGTCGCTCTGCCGAACAGTTTTCTTTTTTTATATGTTCCAATATTTTGGGGGCTACCCCAATTTAAAATATATATATATATATATATATATATATATATAAAAAACAGTGTTGGCTACCTCCTCCTCCTCCACCAGTGCTTCCACCTACACCGCCATGGTCACCCCTCCGCAACCTATGGGTCACTTAGTATAAACTATGTACACAATAGCAGAGGCTTGTGAAGGCCTTTTCTCCATGCATCAGGAGTTGAGCATTTCTCCATGCATCAGGACCGCAGGAAATGTTTCTTTTTTTATATGTCCCAATATTTTGGGGGCTACGTCAATTAAAAATATATATATATATATATATATATATATATATATATATATATATATATATATATAAAAACAGTGTTGGCTACCTCCTCCTCCTCTACCGCTGCTTCCACCTACACCGCCACAGTCACCGCCTCCTTAACCTATGGGTCACTTAGTATAAACTATGTACACAATAGCAGAGAGGCCCTTTCTCCATGCATCAGGAGTTGAGCTCAGTTTGAACAATGAAAGAGAATACCCTGCACTCCAACCCTCTCTCAAATGGATAATTCTGGTGATTCTCCTGACAGCCATGCTTTAGATTTTGATTTATGTTCGTCAAAAAGCTAAAATCAAAGATTCCATCTAGTGCTATTTTATGGCTCAGCTGTATTTTTAATTTTTATGTTATTTTAAGTGATTTCCCTATCCACATTTGTTTGCAGGGCACTTGTCCTACTCTTACCCCCATTTTACTTCCTTTTGCAGCCATCTAGCCCTTTCCAGGACTTTTTTAGAGGCATTTTTGTGGCCAAAAGTTCGGGTCCCCATTGACTTCAATGGGGTTCGGGTTCAGGGTCAAGTTCGGGGTCAAGTTCGATCCCGAACCCGGACTTTTTTTCAAAGTTCGGCCGAACCCTTCGGACTTGAACATCCAGGTGTCCACTCAACTCTATTAAAGACAAAGAGAGCTGGAATAGAGCCAATATTGGGTACACTGAGATACGGGGGGTAACCCCAAATAGAAAACTAATAAACTAGAGCAGTGTACCGATAGGGGCTGGGATAGATGAAATGTACTAAGTCGTTGCCAGAAATGCACAGAATGGTTGCCAGAGGTAAAATAAAAAAATATAAAATAAATACATTTTATTAAATCTAATACAAATAACAAGTGGTGACATAGGTGCTCGTTTACAAAACAGGAAGGAAAAGAAGAAATAATGATAAATGTAGAACTAATATAATAGTTATTAAAATATCCCTATTGCCACTTGAATACTGGTGTACCTTTAGTCTATGTGACTCTGATAGGTTAATTCTTGCAGTATAAGGAGACAGTGGCAATGGAATATAGTGATACACTGGTGCAAAAATAGTCACTGTATCACCTGCATGAAAAGTAAACCTTTCGTTCTCACTTAGATCCTCAGGTGCATCTAGAAGTATATGTGGTCTGTATCGCAAAGCTTGGCTTCTAAGATCTAATTTGGTGTCCATAAGAAATAGGAAGAGTAGATGCTATTCTAATGAAAAACAAAATAGAAGTATGCTGCAGAGCCAGTTAATTGTGGTATATGTCTGCACATGTCTGCACACAAAAACTGCCTAAGTGTGATGTTCTTTTACAAAAGAACCTTTATTAAATAACTAAAAAGTATTACTTATTAAATGATACTGGAATGTATTGTGAGATGCTTGAAATAGAAGGGCATATTATCTATAAAGAGATTTATTTTGAGCATAAATAGGGCATGTTCTGCTCCTTTATATATGATTTCCAGTATTAATCATTTAGTGTAATGAAAACTTGATTTGACTTTGAACTTTTTTTTTAAAAAAGAATAAAGCATGTAATATCTGAGGTCATCACTTGTCAAGATCAGTTTAGTTATTAATTCATGGTCAATGCACAGGTCTGGAGAGGAATAACCCCAAAGCTTGATGAGAAACCAACGGTCGTAGAACAAAATTACAACTAAAAAAAACAAATGCCTGCTTACAGCAAAAACAATGACTATGCAGAATTAATTAAGCAGCAGAGGCTGTTAAGAATATATTAATAATCTATAAAGATTCTCAGTACAGTACATTTTCATTGCAAAGGAGTTTCTCAGATGCAAAGGATCCAAATCTTATAAATTAATGTCGATAAGAGGATTGGAGGCATTTCATGGTATAATCAGTGAGATCCTGAATTGTTAGCCGATATTATATATTTAGGTACATTTGGATAACACTGTACATTTCTGTCTCTAAAACTGTCAGTGCTAGAGATTAAGGTTTTCATGGATCCGGGTCGGAATAGTCATCAGAATAATGTTTTATATCTATCTATAAAAGCAGCAGAAGAGGCTAATGGCAGAGAAGCCCTTTTGTTAATCAGGCTCTGCAATTAGAATTACTCTTAAAGTGGCATTGTAGTTTTTCTTTCAAGTTTTCTTTCCTTATGTCCCTCGTATCTTAACCCCTTCACTACTGAGCACTTTTTGATTGAAAAAAATATTAGCATAACATTTATTTTAAGCAAGGAATGCATAGCTAGCATATATCATCACATAGCAATGTTGTGTATAGTTTGCTTTGCATTCTACAGTGCCTTGTATCTTGAACAGGCTTTGGCATGTTAGTTTAAAAGTATAAAAGCATACAATGCATTATTTTCATATGCAATAGGTGTGACAAAATTTTAGAAATAAAAATGGTCAATCAACTTGCTTATAGGTATTTGCAAGGCACTAGAAGGCATTTCTAGCACTTCAACGTACTGAAAATGGCAACAAAATGTAAAAAGAATGTCCACATACAGAGTAACACAGGGCCATCTTTAATATTGATTGGATCCTGGCCAAGGTTGGTGCCCCCTGAACCTCCCCCAACTGCCTGGCATGCAATCATATACTCAACACCAATGCAGTGGCAGAACTAAAGTAAAGAGGGTCCTGGTGCAAGACTTCTTTTGGGCAGTGCTTTCGCAAGGGTGGCCCAAAGGTAGATCCCATCTGTCATACTACTCCAAGAATGCTTTGACAGCTGGGGCTCTCCCATGCTTGTATTTACCACTGAGCAGTGTTTGTGTGTTTGAATAAAGGCATATTTTTGTATGGAGTATGTTTGTATGAATATGTTCCTATTTGGTGTGGGCATTTGAATGCAAGGGGTGTATGCTGGGGTGTGTTTAAATATAATGTTGGTGTTTTAATACAGAGGTGTGTTTGTATGTAGAGTTAATGTTTCAATGCAGGAGTGTGTTTGTATGTAGTGTTGGCGTTTGAACGCTGAGATGTATGCACAAATACACATACACTGCCACACACACTGTAATACACACACTGACACATGCAGATATACAGACACACATATACACACTGACACAGGTACACATAAAGACACACAGATACACAACCTGACACATGCAGATACACAGACACACAGATACAAACAATGACACACATGCAGACACACTGACACACATGCAGATACAAAGACACACATACTGACTACACATAGATACACAGATACACACATTGAGAACTTACAGATACACACACTGAAACACATACGGACACACAAATACCATCACTGACACGCATGCAGATACACAGACACACAAATACACACACTAACACATACAGACACACAGATACAAACACTGACACAAATGCACATACACACAATGAGAACATACAGATACACACAATGACACACATACAGACACACCAATATAAACACTAACATATATGCAGATACATAAATACACACACTGACTATATACAGACACACATAAATATATACACTGACACATAAACACACACACTGACAACATACAGATACACACACTGACAACATACATACACACAGATACATACTGAAAGGCATACTAACACATACAGACTGAAACACACACACACACACATATACTGAAACACAAATGCACACAGACACTAACAGACATACTGAAACACAGACAGACATACCGACACATAGACACACATACTGACAAACTGACACACACACAGACACACTGATACACACAGACACAGACACACACTCACAGACAGACACACCGACAGACATACTGACACACACAGACATACTAAAACACATATACAGGGAGTGATGGACTAAGAAAAAAGTCCTAGGTGGGAGAGCGACAAATAATAGGAAAAGAGGCCCTACCTTTAATGATTCTAAGGATGAAAAGAAATACGGGTAAGGTAAAATCAGTCTCCCACCTACTACTTTTTTCTTAGTCCGTCACTCCCTATATTTAGTATCGAGTGACAGTGGGCATTTCTTTGGATCTAATCCACCAGCCCTCCATACATTTTTGGGGCTCCTGGATCAGCTCCTGCTTATTTATTTATTCTTTCTCTAAAACACATATACACACAGACAGACATACTGACACACACACTCAGGCACACATGCAAAATGTACAGTTTGATAGCCACCCTCCACTTTCTTACCTTTTGCTGCGCGGCTTCCCTGGGGTCTAGTGTGCTGGCTGGGGTGGCTGGGAGTTCATCTCTGGCTCTCTCCCGGCCTGGCCCCCCCTCACTGCTCCCTTCGGGTCCTCCTCCCGCTCGGTTTTCTCTGGGAGGAAGGGACCAGCTTTCACGTCCTCCCATGATGCTAAAAAGCAAGGAGTCCCGTTGCGTTCTTAAAGGGCCACAGCGCTTGACCGGGCGCCTGCTGAAACAGCATGGGCTACTTGATGGGC